GATGTCAAATCGAAGATCATCAAAAGATGATTAATTTGATATATTATATATGTAAAACCGATAAGAAATACAAAAGTTGTCAACTTTTAAAATACATTTATAATTCAATAGCTTATTGAAGGAAACAAATCAAAATTCAGGGATATATTAGTCACTTGGTATTTCACTATGTAAAATTACAAAGAATTAAAGGGTTATATTAGTAAAAGTGATATTAAAATACCTAAATTAGCTAAATAATATTTATGGAATACCCGAACCTAGATTATTAATTATTAATATATCAATATTATTTCTCCAAACCTAATTACGAAGCATGATTCTTCGCCAAATAAGATTCCGAAGCACCAGAAGCAGCCACGTAGGCTCAGCGCATTCTGAAATTATATATAGGGAGGATTTGCTAAGTAACTAAAGCACATTTATACGTATTATGTTATTTTTTGTATGTGTTTTATATAATGATGGTATCAAATTATCTTATTTATTAGGCTACAATTAATATAATCACATAAGATTAAATGTAATTTAATATATTTGATAAAATTGTACTTTTTATACGAATTATTAGATTAAAAAGTTTTAGAATTTTTTCCAATGTTTGATAAAATATTAACTAACTAAGTCATTTCCATAATAACTGAATACATGGTACCACCATTATAGGGTTCATTTTGCAGCAGTGATTGACTTCACATATCTAATGTTATTTCATTTCCTTTCTCTGGCCTAGCCTTTCCTTTTATCTATGACTTCACATTGCTTCGCTTCGTTTGTACCCTAAGGTGCATTTGCCATAGTTTCAGCATTACTACAAACTCGTGTCAAACATATATCGGATTTGGACGCTCTAGCCAAAACGTGAGAACAGTTAGAAGTTTACACCTATTTTTTTACTTTTTTTTTTTTTAATATGAATTGTTCAAATTTATGTATGGAAAAATACCACAAGTTTATCTTATGTTATTTTATACTTAATAAAATTGATTTAACTTGAATATAAAATTTATTATATTATATACTTTAAGACTAATTTATTATTTTAAATTAGTACTGATATATATATATATATTATTTTATATCAATATAAATAATTATATTATTTTTATTTTATTGCAATATATGGGTCAACTCAAACATCATTGAAAATAAATGATGTGATATATTACATATAAAAAGGTAACAAATAAAAAATATGAAGTATTTGAAAATTAAAAAATTTAATGATAGAAAGTAATAAAAATCATAACTAAAAATTTTAAGGTTAACATAACCACTTTTAAAGAATACATATGAATATATATATATATATATATATATGTGTGTGTGTGTGTGTATATATATTATATACTTAAAAGTTTTAGTTAAAATATATGTGTATCTTAAGTATGTTTTATATTTATCATTAGCCAGCTCCAATTGATATTGTACATTAAGGAATTTTATCAGCATTTTTACTTTTGGATTTAATGAGAGTTTTAAGTTTTGTCATCTTTCTTACCCCTTATTTAGTTATTATAATACTAATAAAATAATTAAGGACCTTTCAAAGTATCTTGTTTGCTTTGAAAAAAATTAATTCTTATCATAACTTGAACGCCAATTACATTGAATGTGTTATATTTTCTATCGTATCAAAAATTTTCATAATAATAGTTGCACACAATATTATATATAATGCATTTTTGTATAGATTTGGAGTCTTAGTTTTACTACAAGAAAATGAGAAAATTCCAACAAAAATTACAACAAATATAATGATTTTCTTATGTTGATTTTAGAAAAATCTTGACTTTTGGTTTCTTAAATGTATTTTACCTTATTGTGATTGCATAGATTTATTAAAATGTATTACAAATGAGAAAGGTGATAGATTATGTAAAGTATAATTTATAAATTGCAATGGCATGTTATTTTGATGGTATATTTTTTTCTATTAACTAAATAATGCTCTCAATATGAAATTATTTTGGATCTATCACTGCAATTATCTTTCCAATGGAACTTCTATTGAATTTTTGCATAATACCAATGACAATTTTTTCAACGATTGAAATATGGTCCAAAAAATAAATTCCAATAGAAATTCAGGTAATTGAAATCTTTACATCCACTAAAGTTCATGTAATTTAATTTGAACTCTAATGGAATAGCCAATGAAAGCAACATATTCGTTGAATATTCAGTAGAATACCTTACCGTTGAATTTTTCATTGCAGTATAGCAAAATTTGTGTAGTCCTCTCAAACATTATTTTGTGTAGTCCTCTCAAACATTATTTTTTATGTAGTATTTATTGAGTAATTGTGTTTACAATTTTTTTATTAAAAATATATGAAACACGTGAACTTTTTTGTTCCTATAATTATTTTTTTTCCAGAAATCACTCATTATTTTATCTCAAGATTACCTATTAATTTACCAATTGAGTTACATTTCTTACATATTAAATATTATATAATTAAAATATTTCTTGTTTTATCTGTTCAATATCATACTTATATATTATATTAAAAAACTATTATAGTAAATAAAAAAGTTATTTAAAATTAGAATAATAAAGATTTTTTTTCTAATCTATATGTATAATTACAAATAACTATTGTCTATCACCTCAAATTTACACATAAAATTAATAAGAACAAAAAAATAACAAGCGTTTAACAATTCAGTTCGATTACATCGATAAGTATATTTTTAGAAGGTTTATATTTAGTTATATTAATTATATTATTTTTGTTTATTAGTTTGTTTTATATTTATTAGTACGTGTCACAACTTAGTTATTATTCATATTATTTCTTATATTTAATATTTTTTTAAAACTTTATCTTGTTCTTTCACTTATTCTTAACTGTAGATTTGTCAAAAAAGACATAATATAAAGAATATAATTTTTTCGATCATCTGCCTCATTATATATCAAATATTTGTATATCCTATATTATATCATGTTTAATTACAATTTTTTATTAATATTTTAATTAAATATTTACAATTCATAAATTCATTAATAATATTGTCGAGTCAACTTTTGTTCATAAAATTTTTAAAAATATATTATTTTCATTGATTTGCTTATGTTGAATTGAGAAAAGTTGTGCTTTTTTAATTACATATAGGGAGGATATAAGATTTCTTATATTTTTTATGTATTATTTATTGAGTAATTGTGTTTAAAATTTTTCTATTAAAAATATTTTAAAAACGTCAACTTTTTAGTTCCTATAATTTTTTTTTTCAGAAATCACTCATTATTTTATCCCAAGATTACCTATTATCTCCAATTGAGTTACATTTCTTACATATTAAATATTAT